AAGCACCCACTATGTATGTGTGAGTCAATTGCTAAGGACAGAAAAATGAGTGTGGGGGCACCTGGGAGGCTCAGTTGGTTAAGTGTCTGACTTTGACTCAGGTCATGATCTCGAGGTTCATGAGTTCCAGCCCCACATTGGGCTCTGTGCGGACAGCTAGAGTTTGTAGACTGCTTCAGATTCTGTTTTCCTCTCTCTCTGTCTCTCCCCTGCTGGCATGTGCGCACACTTTCTCTCTCTCTCTCAATAATAAACATTAAAAAAATTAAAAAAAAATAAAAGACAGTGTGATGTAATTCTGAAGGGATAAACAGGTTAACCAACAATGACAGAACAAACTGATATGGGCTATAATGGAGGTACATTCAAAGTTCTGCAGTAACAGTAAGTAGCAGAACACAGCAGAAGGAATAGCTGAAAGATTTATAGGGCAACTAAAAAGAGAAAGGGGATTAAGACCTCCAATAGGCTGCTGGTCTGGATATATTGAAAAGTCCCTGAAAATTTGAGCTTCATGAAAACAGTCAATGAAAAAAAAACGGTCAATAGCAGTTATCTCTGAGTGATTTTTATTCTGAGCTGACTTTTACTTTCTTCAATGATTATGTAATTACTTTTCTAACCAGAAAACAAAAACAGTGAATGTTCTTTTCCAAGAAGGAAAATGGTTGTCATAATTTCACTTCTGCTAAACAGTGGTTCTCAAACTTGAACATGAATCAGAATCACCTGGATGGTTGGTGAAAGATCACTACCCCTGCCCCAATAAATATATTCTAGCTGTTTGCACTCTGTGCTTTTCTTACCAGAGCCACTTCCCTCTATCATTTTAATATACATACTTTTACAGGATATTTGAAATTCCTTGAAAGTGAGGGTTATATTTTATTCACTTTTAACCCTCTGCTCTCATATTAAGCACTAAGGAATTGCTGAAAATGAATTTCTGAAAACTGTATCCCTGTGTATCATTTTTAGTGCTGGAGAAAATACAATGATAAATATGTCAATTATACCTCAGTTGAGCAGGACAAATATTTAAATTAAAAAAGTTTTTAAAAATGTTAAACCAAGGGGCGCCTGAGTGGCTCAGTCGGTTAAAATGTTAAACCAAAAGTGGAGAAAAAAGTATGTGGTTCTTTCCCTTAAGCGATGCATCATATTATTATTTAATAATCAAATAGTTAATCTGATAATCTGCATTTCTAATAAATTCCATTGGACTAAAAGCTTGCAGTATAGAATGGCTACATGGTATAGTGAAAATGATGAGGGTTTTGAGGTGAGTCAGGTTTTGATTCTGTCTCTGCCTTTTAAAGGCTCTGTGTAGCAACAGTCGACATACATTATCTCCACTCAGCCTGTTTCCTTGACAAAATTCAAAGCAACGCACACCTCATAGGTATATTATGATATTATGAAGGTTCAATGATATGATTAAATATCCAACACAGTACGGGCCTTAGTTAATTAAGGTAGTTAATTCATGTTGATCCCCTTCCCTTTGCTTTCCTCTAAGGATGCACCACACATTTGCCATAACTGGGTTTACTATGACACGAGCTAGCCACACAGAGCAAATCATTTCCTCCAAATCTAACAAACCATATACATCCTTCTGCTACCAATAAAATCTTCACTATTCATCTATAAAATTGGGGATAATAGTCTAATAATACCTACCTTAATATAATAGGTAACAATATCTACTTTGCAAAGATGCATACATGAGGATTAAACAAGAAAACATGTTAAGTGCTTAATACAGTAACTAGCATATGGAAAATACACGGTTATTGTCACTTTCTTTCTCCCTTCCTTTTGATTAGGTATTTATCCATAGTATCTTCTGGACTGAGTTCAAAAGCTTACTTAGTCCAGAATACTTCAAAACAATTTTTTCTACCTTAATCAGATTGTTCTCTTCTATGTCACATTTAATTTGAAGTCAATTATTTGGCCTATTTAAGAATTGGTAGGGACATACAGTATATAAACTACTGTACTGAATGTTTGAGGAGATAAGTAGAAGACTGTTCCCTGACTTTTAGTACTTGAAGGTGACAAAATACAGGAAGAAAAGATGAATAGGAAGGAACACAAGGAAGGGTGGGGCAAATTATACAGAAAGTTAAGTGTGGTAGGAATTAGAGGATTATATGGCTGATCTATGAATCTTTTTTTTAATCTGTGATTATTCTACACTCAGGAACAAGAGAATTACTAAGAGTTGTAGGACCGCACTGGTATTATGGCTGAGAAAATAGGCCCAGAGATCTAAGTGGTCTAGGGGCACAGCTCTGGAGTGGCAGAAATTCCCTGCCTCTTGGTCTCTTGCTATTTCTAAATATTTTCAATTATTTTAATCAGTTTACTGTTGTTCTTTCTAAGTAAACAGTTCAGTGTAGCTAGTTAAGCACTGGGCTCTAAAGCCAAAATGTTTGGGTTTGAGCCCTGGTTTTGTCAGTCACTACCTGTGTGTCTTTGGGCATGTCATTTATCTCTGTGCTCCAATTCCTCAATCTAAAAAAGTAGTAGAACAATATTACCTTATTTCAACATTACCAACAAATAACTTGTTATATGTGAAGGATTAAAAACTGTGGTTTTATCCTTATAATTGCTATTAGTCTCTGAGAGAATGGAAAACAAGCAGTCCAGTGTTCTAATGGTTTTTCTTTCTTTTGCTTCTTCTTTAAAAACCTCCTCAAAGCATCCAGATGGCTGCTTGCTAGCTACCTTAATCTTTTTTTTTTTTTTTAATATTTTTATTTATTTCTAGGAGAGAGAGAGAGAGACAGCGTGAGCAGGGGAGGGTTATAGAGAGAGGGAGATACAGACTCTGAAATAGGCTCCAGGCTCTGAGCTGGCAGTCAGCACAGAGCCCGATGCGGGGCTCGAACCCACGAACCGTGAGATCATGACCTAAGCGAAAGTCGGACGCTTAACCGACTAAGCCACCCAGGCGCCCCAACCTTAATCTTATCAGATAAAAACAAGTTTTTGTTTCTCAGAAGTGAGAGTTGGAATTTGCATAAGTCTGGCCTAGTCTGATAACAGGAATGTCTAGAAAAGTAAAAACCGAGATAGAAACAGATTCTAGGACCAACGGAACTTCCTCAAAAAAGTCAGTCAAGGGGCACCTGGGTGGCCCAGTCAGTTGGGCCACTGACTCTTGATTTTGGCTCGGGTCATGATCTCACCATAGTGAAATTGAGCCCCATGTTGGGCTCCTCATGGAGCTTGGAGCCTGCTTGAAATTCTCTCTCTCTCTCTCTCTCTCTCTCTCATCTCTCTGCCCCTCCCCTGCTCAGGAGCCCTCGCTCACTCACTCTCTCTAAATAAATAAACTTAAAAAGTCAGTCAAGATCAACAGATGTAGAGAAAGATGAAGGTTAATGAATCTAATTCCAAACGAGGTTTCCCATCTATTTTAAGGTCTTTCCCAAACTTCCACAAGACAAAATCTAGCCTTTTAAGGCAAGTGCAGAGAAATGCCTCTCTGGGCTTCCTTTCAGGGAATGTTTTAGCAGGTGCTGCATTCCACCCTGGAGGTGGCTGCATGAATTTGTGAACTGAGGTGACAACATTGACTCCCTCTGGAAAAAGAAATGTTGTCTCTACACAGGAAGCTTAACTGCAAAGGCACTACTTGAAAAGAAGAGGGGGAAGAGAAGGAAGAGGAGGAGGAGGAGGAGGAGAGGAAGAAGGAAAAAAGGAAGAAGGAGAAGCCACAGCGTCGTCGCTGCTGCCACCTAGTCACAGCTTAGTTCAATATTCAGATTACAGAAAACAAGAATCCTCCCCCTCTCCCCCACCATTCCCCCCGGAGTACCCTTCTCTCCTCTCCTCAAACGCCTGTTGAAAAAGTTCTGGGACGAATTACAAGCCAAGAAGGCTGTCACAGAATTAGAGAGAGCAGGTGGAGGTGAGAAAGAACCTATATTCAGGTAGTTAGAAAAATCATGCATGGGGAGGGGGCAGGGGTTTGTAACTACCTTCAGCATCATCCATCAGGAAATCTAGGTGTATAAAGGTACTAACTGGCCTTCCAAATCTTCTGCATTTGGCAGATGAAAGTCACATTGTCCTCCAAGTGGACTTTGGCACTCAGGCGATATCAGGGTAAAATAAACATCAAGGAAGGAGGGAATCTTGAGTGAAAAAGAAATAACAGAAGGTCAGTCTTGGGTTCTTGTGTGAGGGGATTTGTGAGGGTCAGGCCCACCCACATCATCAGCAAACGTGGAGAATTAAGGGTCACTGTTGGCAAATGACCCAGCCCCAGTTTGGGGTCACAGTCAATGGCTTGGATCTGCTGGTACCCTAGGATCTGCTCTGCACACACCCTTTAAGTTTCTCGGTTTGAGTCTTGGTGGTAGATTCTCAGCCGCGACACTGTCTTATGAAGCGCTCTCACTGTGCCTAGCTCAGAACTGACCACCGAACGGTTCTCAACATCTGGGAGCAAAAACGGCTTTTGAGGTTGGGGGTGGAAGGGCACAGGTTTTACTCAGAGTTGGCGTTTGCCTGTGGCCTTGTACCAACTGCCAGCAAAATCCCCCAGTCACCCCTTGTCTTCCACCTTCTGCCTAGGTGACGTAGGTAAGCCCCGCAGGACCTGCCAGAGGCTAAGCGGTTAAGCCGCGTCCTTCAGGTGTCAGGCTCGATCCGTTTGGAAACAACAACCCCCAGAATCCCTTGTGCACGGAGGTGAAACTGCAAATAAGATGGCTCCAAAAGGGTGGAACATGCAGCAGTTTCCTAGTCCTTGGCGGTTTCTTTACCGGATATGTTTAAATAACCGAATCCCCACAAATGCACCACCCCACTAACCACCTTCCAGGCGGAGGAGGCCACCGCAGCCGCCTCGCTCGCTCCTTCAGGGGCATTCTGGGAGTTGTAGTCCAGCCGGTGGCTCGTGCCGAACTACCTTTCCCATGGTGCCCTGCGGGTCGGGCGATAAAAGTTCTTTTCCAAAACTCTCTTCACACTGAGACACCCTTCTCCCGGGTCCCCTTCTCTCCCACGACTCCTTCTCGTCTGTCGCGACCGAGCGGCAGCAACAGGAGGGCCTTGGCTCCTCGCCTTGCCGTCCTGAGAGGCACTTCCGGCGGCGGTTCACTTCCTGGTTGGGTGGATGGAGCCAGGCGGGAGCGCGCGCGGGGGAGGGGCGGCGGGTCAGTCTCCGCTGGGCGCTCCGGGGATCAGCTGGCGGGCGGGCGGGCGCCGAACGCGGCCCCGGCTCTCGCTGCAGCGCCGCCTCCTCTCCGCGTCGCAGGCCGGCCCCGCGGCCGTGACAATGTTGCAGGGCTGGTAGCTGGGCGCCAGCCGCCGAGCCTTCTCAAGTGGGTGCCGCCGGGATGCTGCCTCGCGGAGCGGCGGGGAGACCGAGGAGGAGGGGAAGGCAGTGCTTGGCTGGGTCAGCGCTGCTGGAGGCGGCCAAATCCTCCCTTTTTTCCGAGCCGCGGGGACGGGGTCCGGGGCTGTGCTCGGGATTTCAGCCCCAGGGTTTTTCTCGCTAGGAAAATGCATGAAGCGTTTCCCCGGGATGATGGCTTTTGCTCCCTCTAGGACTCAGCGGTTGAATTCGTAAGTGTGTTACTGATTCATCCTCTCTTCTGTCATCACAGGTTTAAACTTACGCGAATCGCTCTCTTGAGGAGGAGGGGACCGCGGCGCGATTGACACGCATATTCCTATAGGCATCTTCCTTCAGCCCCCACCCCCACGGCCGGATTCGGGTGGCTCCTCTCCGAGCTGAAATCCGAGAAGAAATCCTTGGATCTCTTGTTTTCTTAAAAAAAAAGAAAAAAAAATCCAGAAACCTTCGGTATTTTGCTTTACTGCTTCCTCTTCTCAAGATGAAGAAGTTTTTCGACTCCCGGCGAGAGCAGGGCGGCTCTGGCCTGGGCTCTGGCTCCAGCGGAGGTGGGGGCAGCACCTCGGGCCTGGGCAGTGGCTACATCGGAAGGGTCTTTGGCATTGGGCGACAGCAGGTCACTGTGGACGAGGTGTTGGCGGAAGGTACGGTGGGACTCTTTCAGTGCGCCGTGAATTAAAATCTTGTGCTGATGCAGCAAGACTGGTTTCTAGTTGTTCAGTGTATGAATGGGTTTTGAACAGTTGACCCTCCCTTCCCCCTTCTCTTGCTCAGTGAATTATTGTCCTTGAAAAATTTAAAACTGGGGTTTGGAAGTGACAGGGCTTATGGGGTGGAAGGACGTTGCTGGAAATTGTTTACCTCAATGGCCTTTTAGTATTTTTTAAAAATTGACAAGCCAATTCTTGTTTGCCTCACTGAATTACGAGGATCCGAGAGAAAACGTATGTGTGAAAGTGTAAAGCTTCACATCAAATGTAGGGTGCTGGGCTGGTCATCCTCAAACTTGAAATATCGATGTGAGAGTTGAAGGGTGGAGATGGAGTACCTTTAAGAAGACAGAGGGGTTTCTCCTTCTACCCAACTTTCCCACTCCCATGAGCAGGCATTGGAGGAAGAGAGGATTTCCAGAGAATGGGAATGTGTTTTTCTAAGAGCCAAGGCTCTTGGTGGATTTAACTAGTTTTGTTTCCTGACCCAACTGTAATCAGGTCCCCAGGATGTAGCTAAGATAACAGAAATTACATGAGATGAATGTGGTTATTTTGAAACCAGTCCATTAGGCCCCTCTTTCTCCTGTTTTAGTTTTTATTTTTTAGCCAAAAGAATTACTTGAGAGTGACATCTGATTTTTGTTTTTCCTCTCTTGGAGAAGATGTTATTTAGATCTGCTGTGTAAATTCCCTACATGTGTGTTCATCTGTGTATCTGTAGATATGTAAATATATGTTTTTATCCCCAAGGCTTTCTGGAAATCTTGGCATGTCTCTTTTGGTAACCTTAACCTCGACCTTCATAATTACACCAGACCCATACTTTTCACAGCCCATTGCCTGCCTTGTGTGCTTTTATTTTTATTAAAAGCAGCAATTTCCTTGGCATGAAGCTATTCAAACTAATTGGATGGGGCCAACCTGCTGTAGGTTGTGTTATTGGCTGAGAGGGGATTGGGGAAGGGGGATGCCACTGTGACTGCAACATGGTGGTTGTGGGGGGACAGTTTATTAGCTGGAGAGGAGGCTTTTTGCAAGCTAAGGTTGACCTGGGAGATGCAGAGGAGCCTTTTTGCAAGCTAAGGTTGAAGCAAGGGTCCTAACCTGGGCCTGGGAGATGCCTGTCATGGTGAGTGTTGCGGGTGGGTGGGTTAGGAGGAGGAAGAAGCTGTGTTTGGCTCTCAGCTTGTGCAAGTTCTGGGTTCAACCAGACCCAATTTTCTGGGGTTAGGGTGGAAGCCTTTACTTTAAAAGCACTTAAAAAAAAAAAAAAAAAGATCTGACAGTTAATGTCCTTGTGAAATTGTTGCTCTTTTCCATTCTCAGCACTGTTCTAGCTGGACTTAATCCGGGGCCTGAGTCACTGTCCCTCTGGATCTTTCCTTGTGGGCTTTGGTGCAGGATGGGAGATGCTTCTGTGCCCGCTGCCAGATCCGCACCCTTGAGTCTGATCTGTCTCTTTCATTCCCGTGCCAAAGCCCTTGACTGCAGTGGGATGGAGAAATGGAGAAGGAGTGTGAGAGAGAAATCAGGAGGAATGAGGGAGCACAGAGGTCTTTCCTTCTCTTTGAATGGCCTCTGCTGACCTTATAGCCCAGGAGCATTTGCTTCAACTAGGATATTGTCTCCTTGTACATGGCGCCACCCTAAGTAGTGACTGTTCTCAGAACCTGAATGATGGGGAAGAGAAAAGGCAAAATTAGTCTTTGTTATCTAGGCTGTCCTCCTCTTCCCTGGAATTCCTCCCTGAGAATCGCACATCACGCATTATGATATTTTTAAGTGGAACTTAGGCCTTGCAGCTCTGCATTCATTTATTTGTTCATTCAACAAGCAGTTATGGAGCGTCTATGATATACCAGGCACTGTGCTAGGCCCTAGGGGTATGACATAAAACTAGATGCTAGAGTTTACAAACTACTTTGAGAGATGGAAAACAGCTAGTTGGAATAGAGAGATATGTGCTATCATGGAGATAAGCCTAGGGTGCAGTGGCCCTCAGTTTTAGAGAGCCAAGGATTGCTTTCTGCCGGAGGGGTCATCCTAGTGTGGAGGCAGCACAGACAAAGACTCAGAACAGCAGGAGAGAATCTCTTGTAAAACAGAATCTGGTGATACTGTCCTTTTTATGTCCTTTGACTGTAAGTGAGTTTGAATTTGTGGCTCTTAGAAGTATATAGCTATATAAGAGTCAGTATACAAAGTATCTATGTAGCATCTGCTAAGTAAAAAGGCACTCTAGGTTCTGAGAGGCATAGGGGAGTTCTGAAGGGTGCTATCTGCCTTTAAGGAGCTGTCAGTGAATTTGGGAAGACAAGGCAAATACTCATACACACAGTATAGCACGGTTACCAGCACTGTCTGTATGGTCAGGCAGATCTGGGTTTGAATTCTGGATCTGTTGTTTACTAGCTGTGAAACCTTGGATAAGACTTTTCAAGCCTCTCTCGAATCTGTTTCCCTGTGGCAGTGGTTCTCAAAGTATAGAGCCTGGATCAGGAGCATCAGCATTATCTAGAAGCTTATTAGAAATGTGAATTAAGCCTCACCCCATAAACCAAGAGTGTGGGGCTTTCACAGATTTCTGGAGAGATTCTTTTTTTTTTTTTTTTTTTACAAATAGTTTATTGTCAAATTAGTTTCCACATAACACCCAGTGCTCATCCCCACAAGTGTCCTCCTCCATGCCCGTCTCCCCTCTCCCCCACATCCATCAGTCCTCAGTTTTTGTCAGCATTTAAGAGTCTCTCATGGTTTGCCCTGGAGAGATTCTTATGCAAGCGAAACATCGAGAACCCCTGTCCTATGGCGCGGTCATGAAGATTAAATGAAGCAATGTATATGAATTACTTAACATTTTTCAGGTGTTCAGTGAGTGGCAGCCTTTATTCGTCAGCAACATTATATCCTATATATAGTTAAAGGGGAGTGAAGGGGCATTGTGAAGGCTACAGATTGCTGTAGCCATCCCATTCCCTTTTGTGGATGGACAGAGTCAGATATTTTTCTGCAAAAGCCTCAGTAGCTCCTTCGAGGGTCAATAGATGTTTTGGGTAGCCATGTTCCTTCCTGTACCCTTTCCTTTTCGAGTCCTCAGGTGCTGACCTAACCACTAGTCCCAGCCAGAATTGTCCAAGGATTATGTGAGTTGTGCATCAAGTGCCCAGGGCAGTGGCTAGGCAGTTTGGGGAGGGTGGGCTTTAAACACAGACTGTTTTCCCACCACATCCCACCTGTCACCCCTGTTTCTCTAATGTGGGTGTTGGTCTCTGCTTTATAGTGAGGAATGCAAGAACACCTAGGAGGAGCTGCGGGAGTAAGAAAGGAAAATGTCTGGGCTGCCATCTCCATCAGCATCATCAGCCCTGTTCACCTGCTTTCATGAACTAGTCAGTGAGAGCTTATTTGGGAGAAGTGAAAGCTCTACACCATGACGTCTTTTGAGTAACCATTGAGTAGCTCTCCATTATGCACCGCTACCCTGTGTGCCTCAGCCCTATGCTCTTTGTGGGGCAAGAGAGGGGATAGTGTCTGGGGGAAGGAGTGGTCCTGAAGGTTCAGTGAGAGGCAGGCAGCTTGAAGGAGAAACAGGTGGGGGAGTGGGATGACCAGTGTTACAGAAGGGAGTTCAGAGGGATATGGCTATTGCTAGGCTGCGTGCAGAGGGAGATATTTTCTCTTTAGCTTCCTTAGTAAAGATGCCATGATGACTTCCTAATCATGTCTGAGGTAATGGGCATGTGATGTCAAGGAAAGATTTGGGTTAAGCTTCTAGAATGAACTCAATGGGAAAATAGGAGCAATGCTCATAGGACTGAAGAGCTGTGCCTTTATCATACATTCTTAGTTATATGAGGCCTTACGCCTAAGCTTTAAACAATAAGTGTTTGTCAAATACCTGCTGTGTACAAGACCACATTCCAGGACTGCATCAGTTCTATATAAGGTGGACCATGTGCCCTTTCACTTTTTTTTTTTTAATTTTTTTTAATGTTTTATTTATTTCTAGGAGAGAGAGAGAGACAGCGTGAGCAGGGGAGGGTCAGAGAGAGAGGGAGTCACAGACTGAAACAGGCTCCAGGCTCTGAGCTGGCAGTCAGCACAGAGCCCGACGCGGGGCTCGAACCCACGAACCGCAAGATCATGACCCAAGCGAAAGTCGGACGCTTAACCGACTAAGCCACCCAGGCGCCCCCCATGTGCCCTTTCAGAGCAGCTTCCTTACTTCTACTAAAGAAATCCAAGTTTAGCATTAATAAGATCTACTAAGTGAGTTTCCATACCAGTAAGCTGATGATTTCTCCTACCAACGTCATAAGGTAGTGAGGATTAAAAGTGTGTGTGAAGCCACTTCAAACAAACATATGTGTGTATGTATGTATGTGTATATACACACATATGCAGCATATAATTATATTGTGTTGGTATTGATACGATGCACACGTGTATTCATTTAGTGAATTTTCTTTAGGACTTTGTGGCAGGCACTGTGTTAGGTTCCAGAGCTACTAAGATGAACAGGATGTGGGCCTGGCTCTTAAGGTGCTCATAGACCAACAAATAACCCTGACATCAGTGGCCAGCACTTAGCATGGTCCTTGGTACATACTAGATGGTAAAAAGATGTTATGAGGTGATAAAGAGAGGGCCTGGGGGTGAAGGTTTATAGATGATGTGTGGTTTGAACAGGAATGAAAATTCCCCAGCATATGGTCCAGATGAGGGTTATCCAATACCTTCCCACCAGAGGGATGAGCATATGCAAGTGTGGAGTGGTGAAACAATTTGATGAGTTTGGGAATAAGTACAAGTTTCCCTTCCAGAATCAAGGAAAGAAGGGCATGGAGTGATAGGAGGAAATTCTACATTTCTTCCCTGGCTATTCACCTGCTGTTCACTTTCTTCAGTGGCCCTGGTCTTTTGAGTAACCA